TTTCGCTTTCTTCCCCTTAATCCTTTCAATCCTTAATGCTGGCTCACCGTACAAGAAAAACTCGTGAAAATTTGATTAGTTCCATCATTGAGAGCATTTCTAGTATGTTTCATTTCCTGAAAAGAAGTTACGGTAACTCTGACCTTTCAGTGCTAGTTGACGCGGCAGTGAAGAAGCCGGTGACGGCGACCATTGTGATAACGGATGTTCGGAATAACGAGATTCACTATGTAGTAGAGAGGTTTACGGCGTACAACCAGAACAGCTTCGAGAAGCACCCAAGGCTCTGGACAACAGACGAACTTCTCCTAAACAGCTGTGATAGTAGCAGTTCTTATGAAAAGTGAAAGATAACTGGTAATACTTCCCAATTTCACGATGGAGTATTATCCTATATTATTAGTATTCATTATTATTATTCAATATTACTATTATAGTATTTTTATCTGTCACTGAATGATTATCTAAAAACACGGTAGTTTCCTCCTATGGATGAAGCAAAAAGGCTGCCTAGAATCCTAGAATCACACTCCGGATCACATTGGCGGGTTTGTGCTCCGCCCACGGATTCTCATTGTTGGTTCCCTTTCTCTTTACCTAAACTCTACTACAAGAGAAAAAACCAACAAATGAGATTTAGGAAAATCCGAATCTGTTTTTTCTGACTTTCTCTAGGAACAGGGTGGGAGCTCTAAACACAAAATCAGCGTGTAATATATTTTGCCGGATTTTGGAAATATTTTAGTTCTGTTTTATTAATGAAGGACCGACTACTACAACTACGTTTCATTTCAAGAACAATAACCTACAACTGTTCGATCGCGTTCTTAAAGGGCAGTAATAGCGGCGCCTGGTGTGCCGTTCGGTTTTGATGACGTCATTGAATGTCATCAATGCAATGCAATGCAGAAGGGCGTTAAGAGGTGGTTCTGCCTTCAGTGTGAAACGTAGCCTAGATGAAGTAACGACTTTGCCTTAGATAACGATTCTTGCCAGGAAATCGAGGTTGAAAGCGGGGGGGGGGGAAGGGGCAGGATCAAGTAACGGCTAGGCAAAGCACTTTGCATTAAACTTATCTACGGTAATGCGAATAATTTTATAAACCTTTCTCCTGCCTTCCACCAACATATACTCTATTTACCACGACCGCGCCCTTCGAAAATGCGGGCTAAGAATTCAAGTGATGATGGCCTTAACAAATGCCTTAACGAAGATAATCACATATCAGCACCAGGCCTTGCTAAACTTGTCTCTGGAACCGAATACCATCGAACCAAGTCAGCAATTACGAACAGCCACCACTGTTGGAAACAAAGTTATGAGCCACCAGAATTCGCGCGCTCATTTCCCATCAAAACATTATAGGTCCGAAATTCAATGCCCCAAAGATGTTTCTGATATTCTTTGACCGTGCGATGAATTGAATATTCAAAAATACCCTTGTCGGGACGTTGGGTCTCTACGCCACTCTTGACGACTTGCGTAGCGCGCTTTCCATTGCTTGCTGAACGCTTCCGCGGAGTGGCTAAAGGACAAACTTAGGCATAACGCGAATTGTATCGCTGAGGTTGGGTCTAAATAAAAGGATTCGGATTTAGGCCAGAAAAAAGGTCCTCTACGGAGATGCGGTAGAATATTGTGAGTTGAGATTAAATACAGGAATCACAAGGGACTAAAAGAGAGGGCATTCGAGGTAGCTGACATTCCTGTTTCAGTTTAGGCTTTTCAGCGATAAAGCTCAACCATATAATACTAGTATCAGTAGGCAAACATTTCAACGCGTACCAAGCCGAATTTTTGCACATGTTGTCTAGAGGATCAGAATTAAAAGCAAGCCCACCAGGATAAAATGGTGTGCTCAGAGCCATTCATATGAAGGAATGGATTGAAATTGGTCTGATAACGCCAAATGAAAGCACAAAGAAATCCATGTCACAGTTGCGACCCGAACTCTCCTTTCTTTCAACAGTAATCCACCAAGGAGCGTATTCGGACGAATTTTTTGCCAGCACAGCCGCATCGATTGCTATTTCTCGATCTTTTATTGTCTTGAAGTTATATTAGCTGTGACTACGTAATCCCGGGCTTGCCTGTAGCTACGTTATCATGTGATTCAACCCTGGGGCGGGTGCGGGTGGCAAACTTTTCACCATTATGTCTTTCCCTGATGAGGGTTTTTGTGCTAGCTTGGCAGCTGGAACAGGTGATGAAATTAAGCTAGTCTGAGGAAAGCCAGCCAACCTCAATTCGTTTGATGTTGAAGCTGACCACCACCCATTCTTCATTCGGGATGAAATTGTCCATATTGACACCGTGGAACTCTGCTGCATAGTCGATATCGCTTTTTGAAGATGTCCACGACGAGATTATCAGTTTACATTCCTGTTGGTCGTAAGGGAAGAACCTGAAATCGACCAATATCGGTCGAATGGTAGGGTCTCCGGGAGTGCGAAGCATCTTGAGCAAAATTTGATACCGGGAGCTACCTATAATTTAAAAAAAGACGTAAGTGAACGGTCTTAGCAACCTGTGCCTCTACATCAGTTTTATGTTTTGAAGAGTCAGAAAGGCAGAAAGTTGGTACTGAGGCCTGCTGAAGAGTAACCAAAATAGAACGGGTAAAAAACAATGTTAAAGGAATCCTTCACGGAAAAATCATGATTCTATTTCAGCCATAAATCACTGGCTTGAGACTCATTATCCACGATAAGAATGAAAAGAACAGAAATATTGCTTTTGTTTTGGTAAAAAAATTCGAAAAATCGAAAGGGCTGCTACGCGTTCAAAGTGCCCACGGACGTCTTTCACAAATCTACAACCGACATGAGCATAGGTGCAAGAATTCATGACGTTGGCTGACATTACCACCAGAGGGAGGTACTTTTCTTTGAAGACACGATTCAGCAGAAGCCGTGTGAACGGACCGTCTCAGATCCCCTTTTCCGTACGCTTTCACTTTCTTGAATAGGAAAATCACCTGATATCAAGCATACAGCTAGTACGGTACAAGGCTGGATACATGAATTTGATCTCAGCTCCACTTTCACCTTTCCAGAAATTCGTGCTGACAACGACATTGATATAGCGCTCTGTCTCCTCACGATTCATTACCACACTGAAATTATTACAAAAGAGGTGAAATGTTCAAGAATTCCTCACCGTTTCTTCAATGATGACGGCAGATTTTACTATGAAAAGGCAGTCCATCGGAGATTAAGTTAGAGATGGTCAGTGGGGCAAGAAATTGAACGGTCTAGAACCCGAGAAATTGGACTCCTCTGTTGTCCGTTAATTTGCGCGCTGATGCGACTC